TTCAAGTATGTTTTTATAAAAGATTTTAGGGATTTCAAGGAATACTTTATTATAGTTTTCTATTTTTTGTTTGATTTTAGAATAAAGTTTTTGTTAATATTGGTGATTAAGTATAGTTTTAATAGTTTGAAATTCGTTTTTGATTTGTATATGTATGTATAGGATTATTTGTTGAAAGAGAGTTTCCAGAGTATTGTGATTGATAGTTGTAAAGAAGAGAATCGAAATTAGAGGAAAAAAAGTAGTTTTTTGAAAATATGCTTGTTCTAAAATTCTTTAATTGTGCTAATTTTTTTGTAGAGTATATATTTTGTAGCTGCTTTAGATAAAGCTTTGTGAATTTTGTTTTAGTAAAGATTAAGTTAGTTTTGATTAAATATAAAGATGATTTTAGAGAAGATATGTTGCAAGTTGTAAGTTGTTTGTATTGCATAATTTTTAAGAGTTTGTTTAAAACAACTTTTCTATAAAAAAAAGTTTCTTTTTTTTTGTTTTTGGAGTTTGAATTTGTTTAGAATTATTAATATTTCAAGAGTTATAATATAATGAACAAATTCAGTTTAAATATTTGAGATTATATCTATATATTCAATATTAGTAATTAAGAAATTTGTTTAGATTTGATCAATTCTGCTTCAAATATTTGCATATTAAAAGGTAAAATTTGAGAAGTTAGGAAAGAAGAATTGATAAATGTCTTTGAATTAATGACTTTGTAAATATTTAATAAGTTGGAGTTTGGGTATAGTTTTTTTAAGAGGAAAATAATCTATTCTTGGGTTAGAAACTCTATTAAGATCTCTTATAATTATGATTTTATAGTTTAAATTTTGTATAAGCAGAATAATTTGTTCTTGGATTTCTTTGCATAGTGTGTGTAGTTGATACTTTGAAGACCACCCATAGCCTAGTTACCTAGACCTTTAATATTCTATTCTTGAATCTTAGATATATCTATAGAAAGAATTTATAGTAAGCTTAATTGTTTATATATATATAAAGAATATTTATAGTTAGAGTTTGTGTTTGTATTGTGTGATTTGTTTAGTTTTATAATTACTAAGTGTTTATATAGACATATATATATAACTATATACAGAATTTTAATTGTCAAGTATCTAGTCCTATTTCTAGATACAGGTTCATTTGCCCTTATATAGATTTATTATATGTTTGCACTAACTATACTATTATATTAGCTTGTATTCATACATACTAGTATATACTAGATGTATATTATACTTGGGACTTGCCAAGTAAGTTTCTGTCTAAATTGGTTCCTGGGATTTTTATTTGCACCCTAATCCAAATTTGGCTACTCTCACCATTAGGAGGTACAAACACTTCAAGCTCAAATTAAAACTACCTGTATTAAAAAATTAGACCCAAGCTACAGATTCTTATATAATCCAACTATTTTTCAATATTACCATAATACAAGTAGAAATTCAAATATTCATTATCCATGGGATTTAAACTCTAGACCTGCTACTTGAGAGGTAACAACCTAACCACTTTACTATATCACCACACTCTAAAAAATTATTATTAAATTTAAACTAATTTATAATTAAATAAATAGCAATATAAATAAACAAAATACAAAATTAAAATTTAAAAAAAATTAATTTAAATATTTGAAGTAGCAATTTAAATTATTATAATATCAAATATTTTGATATATAAATGATATATATTTTAAGTTATACAAAAGATACAAAAAAAAAAAAATTAATACAGTTAAACCTCTCTAAATATACATTATCAGAACCACCTCTAAAGCATGAATTTAGAGGCCTGCAATTAGAGAACATTAATGAAATTACAATTTTACTATTAGCACATTATAATACAATTTTAGTAACCTTGAAATAATGAATTTGATTGGCTAATAATCATGTAAATGCATTTATGAAGGGAGTTTTTATATGTGGGTTAGACAGCTAGCGTGCACTTACAGAATAAAGAATGTGCATTTATCTATATGGGCCTGGACTTATATCATGCATTTAGAGGGGTGCTGCATTTAGGAAGGATGTTTTTAGAGAGGTCTGATTGTATATAATTAAAATTTTATAAACTTATTCTTGAGGTAATTGAAGGTAGCAGAGAATTAGAAGTTCTTACTAGTTAGAATTAGGTTATAAATTAGAGAGTTTAAATAAATAATTTCCTAGTTAGGTTGCAGATATGGTGGCTAGTATATTTACATAATAAATATTAGTTCTCTATCTATTCAATTTTAATAATTTTTTTATTTTTATCAAATTTAAATTAATGGTTATTAAGAAATCTTCATTTAAGTTAAAAAAATTTTTTATCTAATTTTTTTTATGTTGAATATTTTTCTGCTAAACGACTTTGTTGATTTTTTTATCCCACCTAGCAATTGATTTGGCAGTCTGCCTAGAAACTATGATTTAATGACTTGTCAGGACGATAGTCATTGCTTATTTGTTTTAGAGAAATTATGGCCCGTCGAACGATGGTCATAATTTGATTTTTTGAAGTGGAAGTGGCTTGTCGGGACGATAATCATGAAGAAATCTTCTCATATTTGAGTACATAACCTAGTTTTTGATTTACATGGTAATCGGCGGGTTTTTTCCAGACAAATTCTGGTTTTTTTTCACTCATAGTGAACAGTAGCGTCATGTGTAGGTTGTCCATTCGATATTCTCAAATTCTGCACTGTTAGGTGTATCATAGGGACAGAATATCCATAGTTGTTTTTCATTTGTAATACCCCGATGAGAGACAAAATGTGGTTTCTAATAGTTTGAGTAAAACTGTTGCTAATTTAGTTACTATAATAGCACCCATGTGTTACGAGATTTTGAAAAAAAAATCATTCTCGCTCAAAATAAGACGCATGCGCGCTTCAAAATAATGCGCAGGGACTCAAAATAAAGCACAGAGAACGTTATTACGCGCGAATACGGTAGAACCAAAAACGATTTATAGCTTTATAACCAATTTTTTTACAAAATAATTTTTTAAAAAAATACAGCGTTTTGCAAAAGAGGTAACCTCTGCAAATCTTATTTCATGCCAATAAATATGTAATATTACTGATTAAACATATGATTGATAGACTATTTAGAAATTTCTTCACGAAAATCACAGTCATACCTATTTGTAAACTGCTATAAATTTATTTCACTTTAATCATATTTTTTAATTGACTTTCTATTATTGTCTATTATTATTTAATTTTGCTAATAAAAACTTGAGCATAATAAATTAACAAATATAGTCAGTATAGTTGTTTTACGTCTGCGTAGCTGTTTCAAAAAAGTGTAAGTTGGTGCGAACTATAACACAGAAAAACATAATTTCCCTAATTTCCCTGATTTCCGAATAAGAGAAATCAAAGAGAAATCAAGGAAATGGTTTGCATCTGCTTACACCTTCAAAAACAGCTGTGATTTATTCAACACCCTAATTACATGTAAATAAAAACATTAATTTTAAAAAATGTTTATTATATACAGTAAAAAGATTAAATTTTTATTAACAAAATATAAACCTTCTTCTACTTATAAAGTAAAAATTTCAATATTTTATGTTTAAATAGTGTTATTTATACGTATTTGAAGCAGTACTGCCATATACAGTATTAATACATATATAGCAAATTTAAAAATAAGCATAATTTCTATTTTTAACGGCACAGAAATATCTAGATTCCGCTACGTACTATTTTATAAATCCAAGAACAAATAGAAAAAAAAAAACATGTAAAATCATTGAAAATTTTAATCTACAGTATCTTTATTTTACTAAAATAAGATAAATTTTTATTTATTATTTATTTATTTTACCGATATCTCTCAAGCCACAAAGATTTTCAGGATAGTCAGACTTTTTTTGAGGTTATCGTCGTTAAAAATTAAAAATTATTGTTAAAGTTGCTAATATATTTGAAGTATATATATATAATATTCATTTATTCATTCATTCATTCATTTTTATTTATTTATTTATATATTATTTTATTTATTGATATTAATAATTTTTTATTTGGTTTGCAAAATTATTTATATACTAATAAAACAACACTTTTAGCCTGATCTTTAACTTAGAGTTTATACGATTGGCATAATTTTTTATAGTACATACGAAGAGTACGAAGCCATTATATCTAAATTTGTTATTAGATTTATTGGCAAAAACCTGTGAAAGGTGAGAACACCAAAATTATTTTATTTTATTTCAAGCATCGTTTCACATCAAGAATTAATAACAATCAAAAATTGAAAATACTGTAGGATGACCGTATTTATTCACTTAATTAGGTATAATACTTGGGCTGATACATATATATGCTTTGTGTCTAAAAATCTTTTTTGTATTTTGTACTTATTTAGAAACAAAGTAACCGCTGTTGATTGGCAGCTTGTTTTGTCTAAATTAACTGCATGACTTTTTTTTTATTTTTCTTTTTGAAAATCTTTACTACCATGTGTATAAAATTAGCTTACGTAGCAAAAATTACAACCAAAAATAACTATATATTTTAACATATTATATTGCACCCGGACAAATGTTATTGCGATGTGGCTTTCCAGTATGTATACGAAATTTACGCAGGTTTTTTAACAATCTAATATTATACATATTTCTCTGTTATATGAAATTATCAATTTTACGTAGTAATAGAAGAGTCATACTACAGGTTCCTCGTTATTATCATTACGGTTTTCGTTTAAGTGGAGTACATTTTGCATCATTTACCTTAATATATATGTATAATAACTTCAGCCCGATTAATATAAAAAAGGGCATTCCAAAAAAGGAGATTCCTGATAAAGACTAATATAATAGTTTGCGTTACACAAAACGATGATCACAAAGAAATTTATCTTTCATTTTTCATTCATGAAGAAGGTATAAATAAATTCATTGAGAAATTAACTTACAGAACATTTTTCTAAATTGTTAACACGGCATCAAGGATTAGCAGCAATCGTTGCTTAAAAATCTTGTTAAATTTTATGATGTCAGATGCGTCGCATGCTCATAATTCTCGTCACGGAGGTCCTCAGAGATTAAAAGTGACTCCTGAATGTAGGTTGAGAAATCCTGCTGCTTTAAAGAATAAGGACAGATCAAATTCAACAATTATAACTACCACAAATCCATCATCTCAGCCTTGTCTTCCTGATTCAATTGAGCCTATTCAAAATGTAAAAATGAAAAAGACCTGTGCTCGTTGTAAAGAAGCCACTAAATGCGTTAAATTGCTCAGTTCTAAAATTGGTAAGCTTGAGGAAATAGTAGGGTCTTTAGCCGAACGGTGTCGCTCAGATTCTATAATTAATGAGGTATCTATTTATTTTTGACTTACTTTTAAAGAATAATGCGTTATTTTCAATGTCTCTAAGCAAGATTCGCATATTTTTCTTAGAAAAGGGACAAGACAACAAGTATTCCCGAAATTTTTGTAACTGATCACTTTGGATCTGCAAATTCAACAATTGTTTCTTTGGACACTTTTAACTTGTTTACAAGTCTCTCCAATTGTAAACTTGAGGATTTGCAAAATCTTGTAGTTATTATGACCAACTACACGATTTCTCCAATGCATAATTCTAACAATTACACTTCATTCAAGTTTACTGGACCCTGAAATACGGGAAATTCACGCGTTTTTTATTTTTTTAAAAACGCGAATTAACACACTTCCCTATTATTATTAGTCATTTAAGACCCCATTTGACCAAATTTTGTCTAATTGCACATATAAGTTAGTTAATTTAGCCCTTTGATAATAAAAAAAAAAAAAAGGTATATTTGCGAATTTGCGAAATAGACACCATTTTTGCATTCCCCTAAATTTTCTTAAGTGATCTCATTTACCTACCTATTCACATACTTACATTTGTAAGCCAATATATATGTAACCCCTTTTTACATCAACAATTTATGCTTGAGATTCGAACGACACAACAAAAACCATATAGGTATTATCTGTTATTCCTTATTATTCCTATGTAGGCAACTGGTATGAATTAATAAGTAATATATAGTATGAACAACTAGGGAAAATAAAGCAAAATTTTATACGTGGATGAATTGTAACACTATACTGGTAATACTTGATGATTTTATTAATGGCGGTATAAAAATGGATTTTGTTGAGTAAATCTTGACACTACATTATGACTTGTTACATATTTTACATATTGATTTTATTCTTATATAATTTTCTATCTCTGGCTAATGAGCATATGTGATGCGTGCGTGCGTCGTATTTGGTACGCCTGGTACGTATGTATGTAAGTACATAACCAAATTATCACAAACGATTGGACCTAAAAAAGAATTTTCCATACACATGCATTTTCACGTGACCTTATAATCCTAGTACGTACGTAAAACCATCATATTTACAATAAAAATCAACCATGATTTATGGTAATATCTGAATAGTGTGACTTTTACGTCAATATGTGTTTATCTACTTCTAACAGTGGCATATAACTGTATAACGGAGAGAGTTGACTGCATTTACAGCGGTCAATCGGATAAATCGATCCGGAAAATGAAATCCGTGTGATAAATAAACGTAAATGAGTCTCTAAATATGGACTTTTGAAAAAAAAAAAAACTGATAAACGGTACTTTCAGTGTTTTAGATATAAACTCATTTCTCATTAAAAAGAAAACACAAGACTTATTGAGTTGCTTTGTATGGTTCCTTAAGAGAAAAAAAAATTTTCATGATTAACCAAAATAAGCCTATTCACCTTTTTAGTACGTATATATTAACATAATCCAAGTATTTTACTACACAAAAACAGACCATGTCTCTAAGATACGAGCAAGAAATAAATTCTAGTTTGGCATACAATACTCGTAGCGTTAAGACGATTGCTTCGAGTCGCGTAATTAGAAATAAACCAGCAAGAAATACTAAGTCTGAAGTGGATCCATACCCAAATCCACCAACTTCTACTTCGAAATCAACAGCTCGTGCATGTCCAAAATGCAAAGAATCTTCAAATTGTATAAATATGTTGAATAAAGAATTTCATAAAATAGAAGAGTTGGTTGATTTATTTGAAACTAATAAAGTAATCGAGGTTAGTATATTATTTACAAAGTTCATTTTAAATATGATTAAATTTTCCGGTTTCTTTAATTCATAATTAAATTCATAATTAATATTTCTTAATGGATTTTTTCAGATCAGAAATAGATGGCTCAAAACTTTAGAAAGTTATTCAACCATGAGTTTCGAAGATCTCCAAAGACAAGTTATGATAACTACAAGTAAATATCATAACCAACAATATTTTACTAAGTAGATTTTATTCACTTTATTTGACTTTATTATGAGTTAGTATAAATACGTAATTATGAGTACGATTATGATTTTCTTTACTATATCTCAAGTAAAATTGCAGAATTTATATATATTTCTTATCTTCTCTTCTCTCACTATTTATAGAAAAAAAAAAAAAACCAACCTGTACTATGATAAGATTTGATTTTATCTGATAAATAAAAATAACATGAAAAACTTGATTATACTGTACCTTAATAATGTATACTCGACGAGAAAGAACACGTGACCACAGGTGGTTTCTTTCATGGTAGCATGCATTTAAATGATTAGTTTCTCCGAACAAGACTATCCCAAAATGAGCTTCAAAATGGGATATTTTTATGCATCTCACACAAAAGTGTCCATTCATTCTGAATCTGGTGATAGTTTAAAAGGTTAATATGTTAAGAAATGTCTCGTGTGCGACATCTATTGACAGCATGCGCATATACGTACGCACGATAAATATTGTTTAGCCGTAACTTTGTACGTTATATTTAATAATATAATAACCGATAAATGAAATGAGTAAAATGATAATGTCATTTGATGGTCTTTAATTTGTCAACCAAATAGCATTGATTATTATTTATTTAACACTTTCTGTATACACGTCCATACTTATCCACTTATCCTATCCATTTTTTATTCTCTAACCAGAAAAAAAATATACGAGGATGGTGATCATATGATTACGTGTTTCAATTCGCCTTTTCCATCTTAGGAGTATTAGCAATCGGATATTTTATATAACGATATTATCCAATTAAAGTAATAATGTAAACAAACTGCTTGGTATGTTCATTTCTAAGCTTGCTCTAACGAATATGTAAAGAGAAAAATCTATAAATTGCCATATTGCATTTTGAATACTTCTAGAACTTTGCACTCTCAATCGTTTTTCCTTCTCAACCAATTTCCAACACTGTTGATTATATTTCCAATTTACCTGATGGATTCTTTTTTATATTTGCTTCTTACCAACAAATGCTCGTTTACAGCATCAATCTAAAGAATTAATAATCGATAGATCATATTTGTAATACAACCCTAATTTGTATGTAATATTCATTTAGTCTTTTTTTCAAATGCGTAAAGTTATACGTATGAAAAAAAAGTTGTACGTACGTATTATTAATTTAGTAAATCATTACTTCTTTCGATCTTAGTGGCGATATTAAAAGTTCCTATATCGGTCTTCGTCGAAATTAGATTGTGGCTTGGTATTTTATAATACAATTACATAAGTAATTCCTATTTTTATATTATATAATAAAAATTAACGCGTACGTACGTACTATTGTTTTTTTTTTTTCTATTATTGTGTAATAGTGTAATATCAATTTTTATGATCGTTGGAACGTAATAGAGATATAAAAATACAAACTTTAATATTATCAATCTAGTTTTTTTTTTTAATTGTACGCCATCAAACGGTAACTTTTTGTACGTATTGACCTTTTTTTTTAATCATCATACGTAATACGTATTTAATTATATATTAAGGTTTAATCTATTATGTTTTTTTTTAGATTATGGAATTAAATATTAATTTCTCATTTAGAATAATTTTTCAAGAAACAATCTGCAGGTAGTCGACAAAGAAGTATACGCATGTGGTAAAATTTATCTCAGGTAACATGTTAATAGCAACAATGTACTTCCAATAAAAACTTATTGAATTTCTGACGCACTCAATTTTGGATAGCTTGCTCGTAATTTGACTTACACGTCCAATAACGTCTTTGCTATTTTAAATTTGGAATCCTAATTATAGACAATTTTCTCTCTGTACTGCTGTACTGTATTGTCGGTACCTTTTGAACAACCGGTGATTTAAGCCCCAATTGAACGGGCTGTGTCACTCATAAAATTATAAGAGAGCGGCGTGCGGCTATGTAAATTTTATATTATATTTGATAGTTTGGTTTCGCGCACGTATTTTCCTGTTTGCTGCAACAATCTGTGTGAACTGCCACAGAACACCTTTGGTTCATTCTTGTGTGATCTCTGATCAATCTACTCAAGATCTGAGCCACGCTTTTCTCTGGTTTTTTTTTTTAATAATACTGTAATAATATAATAACAATAATAATAATAATAACATTGAATCAAGCTTAGCATTTATTCTCTTTTATCTTGTGAAAAAAGGAAAAGAACATATGTTTTAAATTTACAACTTTGGATAATAATTGACGATTTTTAATGATTTTCATTGAGTAAGTAAACAATTCTAATCCTTTTATGTTTTTAATGCAATGCGCATTATTTACCTTATTTACCAGATGATCAAATCGATCAATCCAAATACGTTAATTCTACGATATGCGATCTTTTTTCAAAGAATTCCTGTTCATAGATTTATTGATCATGTGCTTATTTATAAATTATACGGCGAAATAAAAGAAATATTGAAAAGATCGTATATCCAAGAATTTGATTCGAATGATTTTTTATATAGTATTACTAATCTTTGATATGCATTACTTAGCATATAAACGCGCAAATCTCGAAAGTCATGATCATCACGCAGCGGAGAACAAGTCCATCTGTCATAGCGACATTATTCTGTATAATTATATATTTAATAGTTTTGACACAATCACAATCAGCCTATCGAGTGACAAATATATCTGAACCTCAAGAAAATGGTCTTGTTTATCCCATAAACTTAGTCACTTACCCCAATGACACTATTGCCATTCGATTATCTCACAATTTAACTTGTCCAATTAGTAGTAATATTACACTTCCACTTCGTTTCATTTTTCCAAACTTGACGCTTACTATAGTGAATCTAGATTACGCTTTTGATCCTGTTAATTATTGTCCTACAAATCAGACAAATACTACCTTATCAGACCAGATGAACATTTTTGCGATACCAGGTATGTTCTTAAACCTAATCGAATCGCTTATATAAACAATTCTTAAATAAATTCGTATTTACCCTCTATTATTTATTTTTCAGATAATTATTTATTGATTCGTTACTGGATAGTCCCCGATAATTCACCTAATACGGTCCAATATTATGGCCTTATCGTATCAACTTATGGTACAATAATAAATAGG